TCCCTCGGCCTTTTCCCCCCGCACTTTGCCCGCTTTTCTCGGGGTTTTCCCGCTTTTCCGCTGAACATGTGTCGCCGATTCGAGACATCTCCGCAGTTCCGCGCGCAATTTCCAGGCAAGTTGCTCCCATTAGCCACATAATTTTAAGTGTGTGCGTTGCCCGAATTTCCACCATTTTCCACCCCCCCGCCTCCCGCTTTTCACGGGTCGGGCCAGGGCTGTCGCGTAGAACGAGCTCATTTAATATTAAAAGGATTTATGAGACATTTTCCTTTCATTTTGACAACGAACGACGGCGGGTCGGGCAGGTTGGTTGGGCGAGCGTCTGAATGGCGAATGAAAATTCTGCGCCGTTGATGAAATTTTCGCTTAACAGAATTTGCGATGCTTGGCGGACGGCGGCAGGAGCCTACGCACGGTTAAAGGGTTTTTCATTTTCCAAACTCCTTCAACCCCACCCTCCCCCTAGCCACTCCCCAAGCCAACCCCAATTTCATTGCCTTACAGAAAACCCCTTCCCCAATTTCCGTTTGCCATTGTTGTGAGCTCTCGGCAACTTTGCGCTGGTTTAGCTTACGCCCGGGAATTATTTGAGTGCTTTTTGGGAAGCGTTCCTCGCCCCCCGCCCAATGCCACGCCCCCATTCCGGAGCGTGTGAAAGTGCAGACGCCTCGAAAATCCTGCTTATCTGTGGCTGTGTGTGTGTGTGTTAGTGTACATTTTTGACAGATTTGAAAATTATTATGCAAAATGAATAATTTAGTTGAAAGTGTTAAATTGATTTGGCCTTTCCCACTAACATAACAGACATCGGCTTCTCCTCGGGAGATGATGGAGATGATGGCCATGTCGGCATCGCTTTTCAACCCCATCCCTTATTTCTCGGATGTAATCCGGAGTGGTATGATCCAATTCCGGATAAGGTCGGGTTATCGATAGCAGCTCTGTCAACATGAAATATGCATGCGACTTGTCAACCGACTTGTGTATCGATGAGACGCAGTGATAAAGTGTCGTTTTTATTGTATTCTCCTATTTACATGCTACGCCTCATTAAAATCCATAATGTTAGAGGAAAAGCGTCAGTCTATATATTAAATAAGCAGGATAGGTGTTAAGTTGATTGATTGCCTCTTATTTTATTAGTGGGGGCATTTTCTTCTTACCCATCTATTTTATTGATGCTATGAGTTTAAACAGAATGATTATAAGTATTAGGAATTATATTTTACACAAGTAAATCAATTTAAGCGATACAAAAATGAATGGAAGATTACATTGTCATTAGTTTGAGATATGTTTAGGATAAATACATTACTGAACATAGATAAAAAATACATTTTAAAAGCACAAAAAGATTATTTTTGACACCTTTTATAAGTAAATTTTCTGAAAAATTTACAAGTCAGTCAAAAAGTCGTTCCGTTTATTGTTTGTTGTGGTTGTAACATATTTTTTTGTTTGATCCGGAATGAAATATTTGGCATTGCATTTTTTTTGCGAAACCATAAAAAGACCATTAAAACATAAAACCTTGTGCAAGTTTTGAAAGCTAATAGTAAATTAAGGAATAGGAAACTGTTGGCTTTTTGTGATTGAATCTAATTTTAAGTGTCTTTTATTTTATTGAACCTAATTTTTATTAAAGAAAGGTTCTTAAGAATGGACAGCATAAATTGTAACTCTTTTCCTCATTGTCCCTGTCGCGTCAACTTTACATTAGACATCCATCCAAGAGGGCGACTTTCTTGTCAACTGCATTAAAACAGGTCCGCCTTCTTGCGTTTCCGTCTGTCCTTTCCATCGCCCCACCCTCGCTGCCACGCCCACCGCTTGATCACGCCCACTCGTGACGTCATTTGTCAAATTTTCGGCATTACCCGGCCAAAAAGACATGGCCATGGCCAAACATTGTGCCAGTTGTCGGACCCACCCACCCGAAGCTCGACCCCTGCCCTCCTTCATTTCCCTGTGGCTCATCCGGCGGCTCATCGCAGTCCTTGTGGCTAATATTGACATTCCTAATCTGTGCTCCGCTGCGGTGGCCGTTAAAATGCCGTGTCACTTCGTTAGTATGCGTGTGTGGTGCCATTTGTATCTGAGTGTCTGAGTATCTCCGTATTCTTGTATCTGGCTATCCGTGTTTCCCTGTTTTCCTGTAGCCGCATGTGTATTTGTCTTGAGGTCGCGTTTGGTTCGGTTTTGGGTGTGTTTTGTTTTTGATTCATGCCCCGCTATCAGCACTGGGCGTGTTCCCAAACTGGTTCATTTATATTTGATGATGACATTGCCGACATCGGCCGAGCAATCAAACTCCCGGCTCCAGTTTATTAGTTTAAGTAGCTCCATTTTGGGAGTGATTAGTGCGGGGCGTAGTCCATTGTGGTCGGCTGCTAAAAGGGAGCCTGTGACCACACAGAGAACAAAATAATTCTTGTTTACAAAAGAGGACCACACTTAGGTATTTTTAAATTGCCCCAAAATTATTTAGTCTTTTGACCTCCTTTTAGATATATTCCAGTATGGTATGGCTTTTTATGATGTAAATGTAATCTAAGAAAAATTAAGCTGTCATTTCATCGATAAACTCACCTAAATACCAGAACTCTACAAGCTCGAACATCCATTAGGCCAGCCAATCTTTGTTTTAACTTAATTACCCATCATTTAGCTTGCATACTATTTTGAAAACAGATAATTTAAATTCAAAGTGTTATAGAATTTCTTTTGCATACCCTTAGTCATCTTTTTCGGTAATTTGAATACACTAGAGATTACTTAATATATATTTTTGTAAGTGCACAGACACACTCAAAGTGCTGGCCACTGCAGTTTGAATCGCTTTTTAACAACGCTGCAATTTCTGTACCCATTTTGTGGCTGGTGATGATGAGCCACCCGGGTGGTGCATTGGGTGACGGGTGGTGCCAGGGTGGTGCTAGGATGGTGCCGGGTTCAACGTTGTCTCGGACGTCATGTTGTTACAGTTACTTTCTTGCAGCGCACTCTCAACTTGATTTCTGCTCGTTTTTTGCTTTTGCAAATTGTTAGAGGGAACGCCCGCGGAGACACCGCCCCCCTCAGTGCATCAGCACCCGACCACAAACCCCAGTCCTTACTCAACCTGGCTAAAGTGCAGCACAGACAAAAAAAAAAATTGAAATAAAAAAAAACAGGAGGATGAGGAGGAGGAAAAACTAAAAGCGACAGGAAGAAGGAGACCGAAAACAGAAGCCAGGAGCTGAGCAAGAAGACAGGACTCAGGACTCTGGGCCAAAGCGATTTGCCTTGCCAAAAGCTGCACGACCAACTTTGTAGTAACATCTAAACCTCCCCTCTCGCCCCCTCTCGCTCTATCTCCCAGCCGGGCCAGGCTGGTGTGTGTGTGTGAGTGAGGGCGACAGCACAAGTGTTTTAATTTTACGACATTGTATGAATTTTACTGCTGGCACTGCAGAAACATCAGCACCGCTGTTACATATCGTTAGCTTCCTTAACGGACATATCCCACATCGCGTGGGTTGGTGGAAGGGGGTGGGGGGTTGAGCTTCAGACGTCCCTTATACCCGTTGTCTGTGCCGTGCTCATAAATTGCAGCTTGCAAGCGTCAGTGCAATCAGCGTCATCAGCTTCATCCGGTTTATTCGAGGGTCCCTCGAACCGTGGGCCCCACTCCGCCCGCCTTGGATTTCTTCCTTCCCAACCCATCAGAGCGTGCCAGCCTCTGAACTTAGCCCACCCAGGTCGTCTCTGGGGTTTACTTAGCTTGTGGGTAATTTTTTAAAAATTATACAAATTAAAATTGGTGGGGTTCTGCGATGGGCCCACTGTGCCTTAACTGCCGTCACTTAACGTTAACAGTTTACGCTTGCCTGCGGGCTAAAAAGGCTGGCGTTGCACTGCACATACGCATATCCTGACACTCGGCAGCTAACACACGAGTGCACTGCGGCGAAAATTCTGATAGGCGATAGCACTCGCGTTTCCTCTGCTTTTCGGATTTTAGAGATTCCAAGGGAAGCAGTTCCTGCGAAAATCGCCAACACAAGAAATTAAAAGCTGCTTTAGTTATTTCTAAGGATTCGTCTTTAGAGGGCGAACAAATATCTCTTATTTGTTTGCCCATTTCTAAGTATACTTAAAAAGAAAACAAATAAAAGGAACTTAGGAATCTTTTCTGCAGATAATCAAATTTAATAAATTCGTATTAATTTCATATTTTAGAATGTTAGGAATTTAGAATTAGTTAGGAAATATTAGGATAAACATTGACTACAGAAAAATATGTAAAATAAATAAGCCAATCTAATTAAAAATTGTTTATAACAAGTTAAATAGAATTCCTTATACAGCATGAAACAAGTTTTATTTTAACAATGAGATAAACTTAAAGACAAAATTATAAACTAAATAAATGAAATTACTTTAGTTACGTTAAGAAAAACCCCATATTTTGTAAGGCCAGTATATTTCTTGACTTGCCCGAGTTTGGAAGTCATTTCTGTGAGTGCACCTACATATGCAGGCCTGAGGCTGCCTGCTCGTCCTTGTCTCGCCATCATTTTCGGTGCTGGGTGCTCGACGGCTGCTGCTCCTGCCGCTTCTGCTGCGCTAACTGCGTAAAGTTGGCACTTGAAACTGTCAGCTTAAAAATGCCAGCTGCACACACACACACACACACAGACACACTGTGAGAGGCGAGAAAAGAGAATAAGGGGCCATGCATGTAGTATATAAAATGCACAAAATGGTCGAACGACTCATGGCGAAAGTTGGTGGCCATAAGTTACAGGAGGAGGACGGGATGGGGTAGTGGGCTGGGGGGGTCGAAGGTCGAAGCCTCAAGTTCCCGGCCGTCTGACGGGTCATAACTTTCGGAGTAACCCGCGTAAAGTCCCGTATAAAATGCATATTTAAATACCGCCCCTCCATTTAACCTTTCCGCTCATTACTCGACATATATATTAACCCGTTTTTCGTTCTTTTTGGCCCCGTTGCAGATGGTGACGAGAACGAAGAAAATCTTTGTGGGCGGCCTCTCGGCGCCCACCACACTGGAGGATGTCAAAAGTTACTTCGAACAGTTTGGTCCGGTAAGTGGAGAACTCCTTTTTCCGTATCCTGTAACCTATAGCTATATCGAAACGGGAGCCAGTCACATGCCAAAATGCTAAACGAAATGAAGCAAAATAATAATCATAAAAAATCAGAATGACAGGCAGTGGAGCAAATCATGCAATCTATTCGCACTGCGCGTGTTTCCCCAACAATGTACGGGGTAAAATTGTATATATATTTTTATTTTTTCCTGCTTGCCGTAAGCAGTGACACCTTCACTGGCTGCCACTTGCTACGTTTTGTTTGATCAATAAAAATGCCAGAAAAAAAAGAAGAAAAATTACGAAGCCAGCGAATGAAAGAGGAAAACCTCTAAAAAAAAATTCGAACCAAATTCAATCTTGACAAGTACTGCAAAGCCCAGGACTCCACTACGCCCCCCGAAAAACTCCACTTAAACACACACACACACACAGACACACACTCACACACATATGCATATCGAGTGTGCAGCTGTATGTGTGTTTGCGGCTGAGTGCCGTTCGAGTGCTCTTTAAGTTCTCCATTCAGCCATGTTCGAAAAAAGGCCGAAACGGGGGCTTTGCCAGACTTGTTATAGCGCAAAAAACAAATTTTTAGCACGAGCACAAAAATCCTGTGTTGTTGATTACGATACTAAACGAAAATCGATTTGCTAGACGCTCTTCTTCAACCTTCCCGCCGCCAATTTTAATGAGCGACCCTCTCGATCCTGTTGAAGCGCAAAAAAAATCCCCAAACACGGATTTTCATTAACGATGTGCTATCGGATGGATTCTAAGGGGATTTCTGAAGAGGATAGAATACGTCGAAAAGAGTTTAAGAATTAAATGGTTGGTGTTTGGTAGATATTGAAAGCGTTAAGCTGGAAAAGGAAAAATTCAGAAGCTCTACTACTAATAAAAATATATGAAATTCAATAACGCGAATCTTTAAGTCACTGATATCCATTCAAGCCAATTGGGCCAAAATGCAAAACACTTCAAATTATTTTTCTGATGAAAACCCGTGAAAAGGTATCTATTATACCTAAAAGGTATTACAAGATTGCCCTAAAAGCAGTTTGGAAATTTAACTCCCACTCAATACCAAATTCCAATAACTCAAACTTCAATTCAATATACCCTGCTGAGAAAAAAAGGATGCCCCTGAAACATTATCAAATTTCGAGAGTCACCCAGTGACAAATTTGAATGATGGAAAAAAGTAGCTATATCGGGTAACAGCTAAAAATGCCATTATTTGTTTTCCCCCAGCAAATTACACAGCCTGCTCTCGAGGGGATTTTCGACGATTTTTCTCGATTTCCCGGCAACCCATCCGAAATTCCCATTTCCCCCCGAAGAGAAATTCAACTCCGCAGGTAAAGCTTCCGATAATTGACATAAATTGGCGCAACTTTTTGTCAGCTCTTCGCCGCAAGACGTCAACTGCCATTTGCAATGCTCCATTGCCCCGCCCACCACTAAAGCTTTATATATATATATATATTTATATAGCATAGCACTTGATAATGCGAATATAATGACGAGTGAGGGAGAAGCATCCATAAACGGCCATCAATCAAATCAGCGCTGGGTAACGAAATGCTTTTAAGTAATTTTCATCATGCCCAGCGAAACTGTCAAAATCCATAACGATCAAATAGTGAAGATACTACATCGCACGCAAATATTGTATGTATTTGTGTATATGGCGAAAGGTGAAACAAAAGAAGGCTGGGCGATTTAACCAAGCGCGAATTCTTAATGGAAAACTTTTCAATTAATCCGCATCGGCAAAGGAAATTATAATAATAACTTGGCTGCGAGTGTATAAGCCCAGCAGCTATAAGCTGTGCGGAGAAACTTTCGACAGGGCAAACAAAACAGAAGCCCAAGACCAGTTTTCCCATCCCCTTGGCCAAGTTATTGATTACAACTAATCCCCTTTGGCTTTTGCCTGCCGCCTCATTGGGCAACTGGGAAAAGCCGGAGAAAGCCGGGGAAAATCTGACGGGGGGCAGCAGAGCGATTTTCGCCAGGGCCATAAACAAAATAGCAAAATGGCAACGGCAACCGGCGGCTTAGTTTTCTTCCTCCTCCCCGATTTTCCTTCAGTTTTCCCCTGCTTTTGGCGGCAGGTGACCAGCGAAGCGTTAATGACTTTAGCGGCCATTTTTCTTCCGCTTTGGATGAGATGAGATGAGCGCGGAGAGATTGCTCCTGGCAAGATTGATTAGCCGGACAAGTCAGGGCGCGGCATTCAATATGATTAATAGTTGCATGCGTGGCACCCACAACAACAGATCCCAAATGTACGCGTATATATACATGAGATATAAATTTATGGCGCAACCCTGCCAGCCAATTTCATATTGCCATGGCAGCCATTTCTATATCAGTTTGCAGCGAATGCCAGTTTATTTTTATTGTATCTTTTCAAGTACCATTTTCAAATGTTTTCATAGTTGTTTAGCTGCATTTCCATTTCCATTTTGCGGTGCAGGAATACCACTCTGCGATGCTATTCAAAAATGTATACGCTGGAATTTACATTTCGTAATAGAAGAATTCTCTCAATTAAAACAGCATGCCAGTGATAAACATAAGCACTTCAAATATATTTATATTATTCAAAGAATACCTTTGGTTTATAAAAACACTCTTACCGTTTATAAGAATTGTATAGTACGTTTTATTAAGATAGGTTCTACTTTAAAATTCCCAATCTCTAAAATAAATTTAAGTCACCATTCATAGAATATTTACAACTTCCTAGAGAGAAATATATTCCTAAATAGAGCATGCTATTTTAACTTATGCTTAGCTAACTTCAACACCCTTTTCCTGTCCAATTTATACATTTGTATCTGCAGGCCTTCTATGGCCCTTAAAGCCCCACCAAAAAGCCCCTTTTAAATGCAAATCAGAAAACTATTTTCCAAATGCAAAAACAAATCAAAAGAACTTAGAACTGAGCAAAAAAAACGAACAGGATAAACAAAACACAGCGGGCGAATTTCAAATTTTCCCTGCGCAGGTTTTCCCTGCAAATGTTCTATTTAACAAGCACACACACATGCAAAAGTGGGCTTGTGAGGTGGGAAAGGGGGAAAAGTGGAAAAGTGCCACCCAGCTGACCTCAGATGCTGCAACCTTTGGCCACTGATTTTATTGCAACTGATGCAGCTGCTGCTGCTGCAAGCTCTGCGATAACGAAAATTCCACATTCGGAGGGGATGGCGAAAGGAAAGGGTGTGGGAATCAAAACAGAAACGTAAAGCTCGTTGGCTAAAAAATTGCAAATAAACTACACATTTTGTAAAGTCCCTCCGCATGGAAATTGCCCAGCCAAACTATCAGGATCTGGCAGCCAAGTCCGGTCTCCTTTGGACTGGCTTTTAAAGGTGTTTACGGTGTTTGCACTTGCAGATGATATCCCCCAATCCCCATCCCCCTTCCCCACAAAGGTTAGTAAATTTAAGCGCTTTTCATAAGCATTTTATGGGGGCCAGGACCCCGAATCTCGAACCTCGAACCCTGCCAGGCAAATGGCCAAAAGTGCACCATCTCCCGGGGAACGGACAAAACGGTTGGCCAGGACACTCAAATGTCAGATAACTCTGTTTCACCCCCTTGGGATCCGCCCACTTCGGTATTAATTATGACAAATCATGCAAAGCAAGGCCAAAGCGAAAACAACAGCAAAAAAACCCCAACTAATTTCATTAAAAAACAATTTTTTATGATTTAATTATGGAAAGGCAAGCGAGCGAAAGACCTAAAATACACTGCCGCAAAAATAACAAAATACTTGCGAGATTTAGTGTGAAGAATAATATTTTTACAACGCTTGAAGCATCACTATCATAATAATAATAAAATGTTTGGTGAAATGGCAGCATTAAATACTGGGCCTTAAATATCTCTATAACTTGTGTGGTCTGTTTTCCTTTGAATAGATAATTAGTACACAAACAAATTAAAAATGTGGCTTAATAAAATCAGTTTTTGTAGATAAATTAAATATTCTTAAGGAAAAACAAGTGAAATAAAACCAATTTAATCAAATTAATGATGATAATACCTTAGATGAAATATACACACTTTAATTAGTTTAAACAAAAAGCTTGTGTAAGAGGTTTTTGATATCATGTAATAAATTTTGAACATAGTTTTTCATCTTTCGAGTATTCCACATTCTCCAAAACTCTTGTGTTAAAAAAGGCTATTTTGAGTAGTATTTTTGACAGTGCTCTGGATGAGAATAGGAATCTGACTGAATCCTGGCTGCTGCTCCTGATTCCGTCAGAGTTCACCTGGCTGTCATAACTGTGGGCAATTTTTGAGGCGTTCTGAATGAAGTGTCTCGCCCCGTCTCTTTCTGCCCCCGGCTAGCTGTCTCTTTCGGGGAAATGTGGGGCTTGAGGGGCATAAATTATGATGCGCAAATCTTCAGCTGGCTGAATGTAAATGTAAATGCAGGCACGCCAGTGTGTCTGTGTGTGTCTATGTGTGTGGTGGAGCTGACTATGTGTGTGAGTGAGTGCACGATGAGTGGCAGATTTGCATAATCCTTAGCAAAAGGTTTCATGACAACGCTGCTCGAAATGTCAATGTGGGCGGATGATGGGCCAGCACGGCCCCCTTGACAAACAGCACACCCCAACTCATACTCAAACTCAAACTCAGGCAGAGACCGAGACCGAGAGCAAAACCGAGCCACCCTAGAACCTTCCGAGCCACTCTAAACCAGCCCAATCATCTATAAGCTGCGGTTGCCTCTGCTCGTAATTAACAGCATACATATGTGTAGGTGGACAAACACACACGACAAACACACGGCACACACTCAGCTGCCATTTACATAGCCAATTAGTTATACATAAACACAGACAGCAGGCGGCAATAACAACAACGATGCCAATTTCCACCTTAATCCCTTGGCCGCAACTAATTTAATTGTGTTCAATTTGGCATAAAGGCGTTTAATGCAAAAGGCATTTGCCAAACAA